TGGAGCAATATAATAGCAGGATTGTTAAGAATAGACTTTTAGGCATGATGGAAAACATGTACTGTACATGTATATAATAAAATCCTTGATTGTATATTTCAATAAGGCCTTATGGGGTAATTGTTGAATTGATTTCTGGTTGGCCACCAAATTAATCAATGCTAGTTTTCTTGTTATCTTCTGTTAGATTGGCTAATCAAACTAGTGTGATTAGGCAATTGGGATCAGTAACTGCTAGTCAGTGTATATCATGTCTATTGATGGGATGCCATGTGTAATTTGTGCATGCTCTTGACTAGTGAGTATGCAGAGCATCATCCAAAACAGTAACAGATTTAAAAATTGTGAGGCTGGCTTCACACAGAGGCCAAAATTGATCAATGTATGGTTAGAGCATAAATTGATTGTTCTAACCAAAAATTCTTTTCAGGAGCATTAATTAATCATTTTAATGTTTCTTTTCAGCAGCATATCTTGCAAAGCATATCTTTCAGGAGCATATCTTTGCAATGTGGAACTTGAAAAGAAAATTGATGAGAAGATTGGCCAGTTCATCGATAGAGTGGAGAAACATTGAGTAAGAAAATTGATGAGAAGATTGGCCAGTTCTTAGATTGTATTTTTTTCATAAAATAATTTTTTCCAAGTTTTTAGTTGTAATAACTTTCACATATGGCTCAAATTTTGAGACTCAAATGGAATGTTCAATTAAACTATAATGCTAGCTATACTGTCTGAATTCTTGTCATTTGCTATTTCTAGAGTGCTTAACGCTACACTTTTATTTATTTATTTATTTTTTACGACGGTAACAGATGGTCGCCAAAAATCATGTTAGTGTTTTTCTTTGTTTTTTGCGACGGCAAAATAGTGGTCACCATAAGTAGTTTAGGCGGTTGCAAATAATTTGCGACCATTGCTTTGCCGTCCCAAAAAGTATTTGCCACCCCCACATTTGCGACCCTCATTTTCCGTCGCAAGGGCCGTCGCAAAAATTTTTTTGCGACTGTTGTTTATTATTTGCGACGGTTTATAGCGGTCGCAAAAAGTGTTTTTTTTAGTAGTGGTTATGCCTAGGATCCAGAAAATCAAGACAAGCAGCCTACCTTCTACCAGTAGAGAACATGAAATGTCAAACACCATCTTAGACAGACTCTAGTTTATTTGAGCCGTCAAAAATTAAATGATTTTCATCCAAAACTATCTTTACTAGGATAGGCACTAAATATTCATCACCACTGTGGTCATACAGAACTCACTCGAATCAGTTAATTAGATTTCTGTTGATTCCATTTCCACAAGGCTCTTCTAGCTGAAAGTATGAATTTAGCTAAAAGTATGAGTCACAGAAGTATTTGAATTTGAGGCCATTCTACCAATAATCTATCAGACCCTCATGTTGCATCAATAGATAAAGAACAAAAACAGTTCTCAACTCATGTTCAAAACTACTTCAAATTTGGGTGAATTGATTCAATACGAGGAAGTGAGATCACTAATTTCTCAATTTTTATTCCTCTTCAAAATGATAATTTTTTCACACTTCAAACTTTTAACTATACTTTTTATTCTTGTACAAATGCCTAAATGAATGATTTAATAATAATTGAACTAACATTAACATCTTGAATATGGTATCTGAAAGTCATTGACATGCTACAGTATTTGTGTTGCTTGGGTGGTTGGTGTTGGTGGTGTGGTTGGAACTTGGAGTTGTTGTCAATGTCTATCTCTACAGTGTTCTCCACTGTCGTGGCTCCCCTTGGGAACTTAGAAGAGGCACAGAATAATCAAACATTTCCTAAAGGAAAATTAATGAAGATAATGTAGCAAATAAGATTGATAAAGTAATAAAATAAACTAAGAAATTACAAGAAAATTACAATTCAAGAAGGGATATCAATAGCATATGATCACTGCATCAGATTGTTATCATTAAAACCAATATTCCATTTTTGCTTTAATCTTATAAATTTTGAGATTGGTCATTGATTATGGGTTTGAATCTTATAAATTTCTTCTCTGTCAAACCCATAAAACGAAAATCAAACCCATAAAATTAAAATCAAACCCATTTTTTACATGAAGAATATCATAATTTCATAAAAATCAAACACTTCAACCAAACCCATTAACAAAATCAACACAAAATTAAACTAAAAAATTCATATAAACCCTAGATGAAGTGTGAGAAATGGAGAAGGGAGAGAGAGAGAAACATAGAGAGAGAGAACCAGAGAGATGGCTCGACAGAGAGAGAAAAAGACCCAGATCGACAACGAGGGAGAGGACCGAGCGCGACAGAGACAAACCTATGATTTGCGGCAGTGTTGGTGGTGATTTCAGTGATGCCGGTGGCGACATGCGACGGTGGAAACGGACGGTGGCCAGCGACGGTGAGAGAGGGAGGGGAGAGGAGCAGCGGAGAGGAAGAAAGAGAGGCAAAGGGAGAAACGCTGAAGAGAGAGAGAAGAAGCGCTGGTTTGTGGTTTGAAAACCAAATATATATATATATATATATTATACCATTAGCGACTAAAGTTTTTTAGTCGCTGAAACAATTTTATAAATCCCTCCAAAATATTTGAAATATCTCTCTCCAATAATTTTGGTTCTTTGGCGACCAAAATTACTTTTCGTCGCTGAAAATAAACTGTTGGGGACTAAAATTTTGGTCGCCAAAGGTAAAAAATAATTTTTTATTTTCCAATCGGCGACTAAGTTGTTTTAGTAGCCAAAGCTCAATATACGGCGACCAAAATTATTTTTCGTAGCTGAAAATAAACTTTTAGCGACTAAAATTTTAGTCGCCAAAGGTAAAAAATAATTTTGTATTTTCCAATCGGCGACTAAATCATTTTAGTAGCCAAAACTCAATATACGGCGACTAAAATTTTTTTTTGGTCACCAATTCTGGCATTTTTGGCAACTAAATTTTTTTTTAGTCGCCAATAACCAATATACCCCGACTAAAAAAAATTAGTAGTTAAATATTTTATTTTTGCCGACTAAAAAAAAATTTTGGTCGCCATTTCTTCAACTTTTGGCGACTAAATTTTTTTTAGTCGCCGAAGGTATATTTTTTTGTAGTGGACTGAGGAAGTGAAACCCGTCCCCACCTCCACTTCCTCGTTAGGGTGGGCGACTAAAATTTTGGTCGCCAAAGGTAAAAAATAATTTTGTATTTTCCAATCGGCGACTAAATCATTTTAGTAGCCAAAACTCAATATACGGCGACTAAATTTTTTTTTTGGTCACCAATTCTGGCATTTTTGGCAACTAAATTTTTTTTTAGTCGCCAATAACCAATATCCCCCGACTAAAAAAAATTAGTAGCTAAATATTTTATTTTTGCCGACTAAAAAAAAAATTTGATAGCCATTTCTACAACTTTTGGCGACTAAATTTTTTTTAATCGCCAATTTTGGTCGCCGAAGGTGTATTTTTTTGTAGTGGACTGAGGAAGTGAAACCCGTCCTCACCTCCACTTCCTCATTAGGGTGGAGAAAACTCAAGTGGTTTGGGACATGGGGGTACGGGGGCGGAGCGGGATGGGAGAAAATGATCATCACTAGGCTTGTCACCCAAAAATTGCCAACTCATTATGTTCTACAAAAATTAATTTTCAAATAATGTTCAAAATTTAAAATGTGTGTATCATATTCATCTGAAGTATAGCGTGAACTACACTTATTATAAATCTTAATCACACATTTCAAATTTTGGATACTCTTCTTTTTTAATTTTTTTAGTTTGTGGCATTGTTGTATTAAATCAGATTGTGCATTACAACCCAAACTTCCATTATAATTTTCTCCATTTGAAATGATACAATTTACTATTGGGTAATTCTACTTATACCACCATTTCACCTCATTACACCTTTTTTCTATTTACACTTTATTCAAAAATTATTTTATCACGTTACCTACTATAATTCCACTTTACTCTCATCCATAGCCTCCCTCTTCGTTTTACGCTCAACTTTCAAACCTTACCTACTCCGCCTCCAACCACCACCACCCTACAACTTTCAACCACCCCTGAAGCCGCTCCAATACCCCGACCAACACATTTGCAACCCTATTCCTCTTGTTCTTTTCTCATTTGATCTTTTCTATTGTACATCTTCTTACATAAGTGTGAATCAGAGTGTTTCAATCATAAAATAAGATAATTGATGAAGAATTGGTGATGAATGACTAGTAGAAAAATGAAACAATGAGTTTTTTTTAATCTTTTTCTTTTTTTGAACGTTTTCGAATCGAATCTGGAGATGGTTGTTTGACTTTTGCTCGGTGCATTAGAGTCGAACAAAACCAAACAATCCGGAGACCCATTGTCGAACAAAATCAAATCATGCAAATGACCACTATTGAACAAAATTGAAACACCCTTACATCTATTGCCAAACGTACTGACCCATCATATGTTTGGCATCCCACAACTGGACACACCTTGCATGTTCGGCAAGCCACAACTAGATAAAAGTCATGTGTACGGTGAAACAAAACCGCGCAATTCACAGAAACTGCATCATTGAAAATGTATTAAAAAAATCAAATAAAAACCAAATGTGAATGCTCAAAGTGATGGTTATAAGTTTAATAATCAAAAAGACATCAAATAATCATTATAGAAGATGGGTATTGTTGGCGATTTTGAAGAGGTGGAGGGGTGGAGGGGGGCAACCGAAGGTAGGGAAAAGGTTGCTGAGAGATTGGGAGAAGGTTGTCGAAGGTGGAAGAGAGGCTACCGGAGATGGGCGAATGGTAAAGAAGGGGCTGGCAGTGGACGAATTGTGGATGAGGGCTGCTAGAGGTAGGAGAATAGTGAGGAGAGAGAGAGAGATAAAGAGAGCAGAAGTGAAGGGTGAAAGGTGGGGTGAAAAATTGTGTGTTGAACTTTTAGGATTTGGGGATCAATTGAAAATTTTACAAAGAGGAAAAAATTATAATAAAAAAACAAAACAAAAAAAACAAAAATTGAAAGGAGTAATGAACTTGTTTTGTGATATAAACAGAATTACAAATTACTATTGGCCTCACATGGCCAAGTATCACCAAGTTAGTTTCTCCTTAATTGATTGAAATCATCCCAACTTCCAAAGCAACTTTCCAATTATCAAATTTGTTGCCATCTATATTCATTAAATATTAAAACAAAATTACATATAAAAGTTATTTATCATGTGATACATGTGTGCACCCTTCTCACTTGATGAACTTCAAGGGCCTCATCATAACATTGTCTTCATGGTCCAAAATCTGCATTTACCAAAAAAGTTTTTAAAAAATAAATTAAATTAATACTTAACAAATCATGATAGCCATCAAAAAGAAAATTATGATTGAGTTTCATTTTTGTGATCTCTGCCTATTGTGTTTAAGTTTCGGTCTAGTCGGTTGTTCTTCAAATACACTACAAATTTTATTAGTTTGTATAGTATTTTTTTTTTCCCAATAAACATGTGTATGAGTATGTATAATATTCCTGTATAATATAGTCTCTAACAAGTAAAAATTTTAAGCATATTGAACTCTTATCTTTCAATTTTCAATTTGTCTGGGATTTATATATTTCATATTCTTTAATATATAGAAAACATCTCTACCCTACCCCAACTTTTCGCTTTTACTTTTGTATATTTATTTTCTTTTCAATTTTTGAATAATTTGATCTTTTACAGTTTGTCTAATTACTCTTCCTTTTCCTACCATGGGAATTGGCAAATTAATAAATATTTAAATGCATAAAAAAAGCAACTGATTCACTCTAATATTATTATTAATTAGGGTGTTTTGTAATTGTTACAATCATTTTTTTAACAAGTGAATTGGTACATAGCACTAGGCCTATACTATATATTGGTGTTTTAGCCCATAATTTGACCTTTTTTTTTTATTAGTGTAATGCAATACTCCAAGCACCAATTAAACTTTACCTAAGCACTATCACCTATTAAGTGGTTTGTGAATAACTAGTCTTTATAATTCTATCTCATCCGTTCAAATAATAATGAATTATATATGATGATAAATAGAAAATAATCCTCTCTAGTACTTTCTTTTTTCAGTATCATCCAGCACTTGATCCAAATGTCACAAAATATGAAGAAGGAAATGAATGCTTACATGGCAGTGGTAGACATAACCGGGCTCTGCAGTTGCATCAAACACATAAGATGCATTTGAATGTATGTAAGAAAACCTCACCAGGATCTTGGTAACAAATCCAGGTGTCATCTTGTACACGTTCTTCCAACCCTTCTCATGCTCCAACACTTCCATATTTTTGCCACGTGCGTACTTGCTTATTTGGCACTTGATAGCATCATTTATCTTCTTCATGCAATTTCGAAACTCATCAACGTTTACCAACTCCGTTTGATCTAACACCACAAATAGACCCAAATGGATGTGCAATGGGTGATTATCCTCTGTTAGGTTTATCACATTCCAAACTTCTGAGGTTCCCACTTTTGGAATCTCCGTCACCGGTTCTTCGAATGATTTCCCGTTAAGATACAAATGAGTAGGCTCATCAATGTCACTCGTGTACTCGTACATTGCAATGTACCGTGTTGCCGAAGCACTGGATAAATCAGGAGATGGGTATTTTATCAACTTATCAGGTACTCGCCCCTTGTCATCCTCAGTTTGTTCTTTGATGACGAATTTCATGACTTTGCTATTTGCTCCGTTGACCGGGTCACCAGAAGGGTAAGGATACGGTGCATCATTGGCTAAAATAGTAGAATTTGATTTTGACTCCGAAAAGTCAACTATCACATCAGCAATCTCAGATGGGGCTAGGAGGATCTCATTGAGCATCACTGGCCGTTCAATATAGACTGAATCAGAACCCACAAAGATAAATCTTAGCCCATTGGTAAAGAAGAACTTAAAGAATCGAGCATTGCTTGCATTGATAATACGAAATCGATACTTTCTCCGCCGTACGATCATTCGAGGCCAAGCTTTGCCATTTACGATGATGGCATCACCGAAGTACTCTGGTTGCCACTGAGGGTGTATGGAGGGATTATTTCCTGTAGAATTCATGAATAATGAACCGTTGGTACGAAAGCTACGATCGAAAACGATCAACGGACGATCAAACTCATCACCGTATGGAAGTTCAAGTGGGGCCTCAATTTCTGGATGACGAGTGATGTAGGCCCCAATCAAGCCAGCTAGAAGGTTGATTCTGGTCAACCCCATTGCATGATCATGGTACCATAGGTTTCCTGGTTGTTGATTGTTGTAGTAGTGATAGGTTTTCTTAGTCCAAGTGGGTCCCCTCTCTTGAAATCGTGCGGTGAACCATGCGTCTGCATGTCCATCGCTCTCGGGCTCACCAATGTTACCGTGGAGGTGAACCACAGTAGGAATGCCCTTCTTAGTGGTTGGTGTGGCAGTTGGGATAGTAGGGTCCCAAGGAAGAATGTGCTTTGAAGGGAGGTGATTTTGCCACTTCACATAAGTGTCGATCCCATGACGGGTCTCGATTGTTGGACCAGGAACGGTTGCGGTGTCCTTGTATGTACCGTAGGCAAATACTGGGGTTGAAGGGATATCCCTGTGAAATTTCTGCAAAGCAAGAAACAAATCACAGATTCACAATCATCAATCAAGTTGACTTGGTCAACACAAGGAGTTTTCTGGGATCAAAACAAAATCACAAAATATATTAGATTAGAATAATTACATTTAAATACCATGTGACAAGTCACATATAATATGTGAGTTATTAAATAATGTGAATAATATTATCCAAGACATTGGCATAGTAGCCAAAATATAATTGTTATATGGTGTTACACTTATTATTATTTTTTTTTTTTTGAACATAGAAAATGAGGAACAAAGCAAAACCAACAAGCTAAACAGCATTACACAGATTACGTAGAGCAGCAGGAGGGTGTGAGACCCAATCAAGAGGAAGATTGCCATGCAGTGAGCTGTTCCATTTGCTGCTCTCGGACACCACTGGAAAGACAACTGACTTCGAACAGCCATTCCCTTGATATCATGGATAATGGCTCCACACTCCCAAGGGGGAACATCCTCAGAAACACACAAGTGGATGACATATTTGTTGTCGCTTTCCACAACCACCGGTGCGGGATTGAACTCTTGAGCCAACTGACAAGCGAGTCGGCAAGCTAGAGCTTCTCTTTGAAAAAAGGAAGAAATATAACACTTCTTGGTGATTCCATCCATCAGTTGACCCTTAGAGTCCCGAAGAACCGCTGCAACTGCAACTAGATTAGAGCCCCTCTTAACAGCCACATCGCAATTGATTTTAAAGTTCCCCATAGGTGGAGGCACCCAATTTGCTACAGGAAAAGTGACAGCAACCCGAAACTGAGAATGCGAAACAGTTCCCAAACCCATAGCTAACTCAAATTCTGCCATGGCCATCCGAACTCGAGATAAGACTGAAAGAGGATCAATCGGGTGGTTGTTAAAGATAATATCATTCCTGCCCTTACAAATAAACCAACCAGTCCAAGCAACTTGTTGAAAGAAAAACTCCCGTTCAGCAGTATTTTGAAACTGCTCCATCACAGCACACGACCATTCAAGGACCGAGTGGATGGAGCTCCAATTTACTCTGAAATTTAGATTACTCCCAAACCAGACTGCGCGAACCCAGTTACACCCAAACAGTAAATGCTCCACCGATTCGGGTTTAGATTGGCAAATAGGACAGAGATTAGAAAAAGCACACTTTCTCCGGACCAAGTTCTCTTTAGATGCTAGAGCATTTTGGCACACACGCCACCAAAAGTGACGGATTTTTGGCGGAACTTTGAGAGCCCAAATGTGTTTCCAAAAATTACTAGGAGGTTGGAAGGAAGAAGACGGAGTTTGTGTTAGATGGTCATGTACAAGGGACCTAGCAGTGTGATACCCCGAGGAGACCGAATATGATCCTTCAGATTCAAAATACCAAACCTGAGAATCTGCCAAAGGTGTCAAAGCAATGGGAATGGAGGAAATAGCTTTAAGTTCAGAGGCTGACACAAGGGAACTAAGGGCATCCAAATTCCAGCTCTTTGAAGTATGATCAATAGCATCTACCACTCTATTAATCTCACAATTTACAGGTTGCATGGAGATGACTTGAAAATTAGGGAGGGAGGGAACCCATTTGTCCTCCAAAAAACGGATAGAAAACCCATCATTAACTTGCCACCGAACCCCCTTTTTTAAAATTTCCCGTCCTTGCAGAATGCTTGCCCATGCCCAAGAAGCTCGGCAACCTTTATTTGCAAGCATAAAGCTAGAATGAGGGAAGTAAATGCCTTTCAAAATACGAGCACTGAGAGAGTGCGGATACCTGAGTAATCTCCATCCCTATCTTGCGAGCAAAGCCAAATTGAAGCTGTGGAAATCGCGAAAACCCAATCCTCCTTGGAGCTTGGACATCACCAATTTATCCCATCCAACCCAGTGGATCCCTTTCCCATCCAACTCCTCTCCCCACCAAAAACTACGAATGTAGGAATTCAATTTAGCACAGAACTTTTTTGGAAAAGCGAAACAGGCCATTGCATACAAGGGGATTGCTTGAACCACCGCCTTTATCAGGGTTTCCCTGGCAGCTTGTGAAAGCAACTTCATCTTCCAACCCTGAAGTTTTGACACCACTATTTCTATAAGAAAATCATAAGCCTCTGCTTTCGATCTTCCCCAAAAAGAGGGCAGCCCCAAATACTTTGCAGATGGGTGTGAAACCTTAAGACCAGACATGGCACAAATAGAGCTGCGTAAAGTTTGAGGCACATTAGACGAGAATTAGACACTGGACTTGTCAAAATTAACCATTTGACCAGAAGCAGCACAATAGGTTGACAGGATATCCAAAACTTTTTGACATTCCGAGACCTCTGCCTTTAGGAAAAGGAGCACATCATCAGCGAATAACAGATGAGAGAGAGTTGGGCAGTGCCTTGTAATCTTAAAACCAGTGATTGAGACCATGTGAGAGAAGATTAGAGAGTACATCCGTGACCATAACAAAAAGATAGGGAGATAACGGATCCCCTTGGCGAAGCCCACGAGTGGGAATGAAAGAGGCCCTTTTTTCACCATTAACACAGATTGAAAAGCTCACAGTTGATACACATTCCATAATCCAATTGATCCACTGCGGATGAAAACCCAATTTCTGTAAAACCGCGGCCAAGAAATCTCATTCTATACGGTCATAGGCTTTGTTAAAATCAGTTTCAAGGAGTGAAAAGCTTCATGCGCTATGAGGATATTATCTTGAATCAACCTACCCGGGACAAACGCTGACTGATTTGGGGAAATTAACGAACCGAGCACTTTTTTCAGACGATTGGCCAAGATTTTTGTGATGATCTTAACAATAAAGTTACAAAGGCTGATAGGACGGAACTGTGATAAATTTGTAGGATTACCAACTTTGGGGATCAGAACCAAATTTGTTTGATTGAGCTCTTTGAGCATAAACCCTCCCGCAAAAAAACTGCGAACAGCTTGATAAACTTTGGTGCCAACCACATCCCAATAGTTTTGAAAGAAGAAACCAGGGAAACCATCTGGCCCGGGTGCTTTAATAGCGCCAAGTTGGAAAACAGCAGTTCTAACTTCCTCCTCAAATAACATGGAGATTAACTGACGGTTCATTGAGTCAGTTACCAGCGATTGAACCACAGAAAGAGCTTTATTAAGATTTCTATCCCCCACACTTGAAAACAACTGAGAAAAATATTCCAACAGATGGCTGCTAATTTCAGGGTCGGATTCCATCCAGCGGCCATTCTCGTCTTGAAGTTTAAGGATTTGATTGCGCTGACGACGTTGGATGATTGTGGCATGAAAAAAACTAGAATTTTTATCCCCATAATTTAACCATCTGACCCGTGACCTTTGATGGAGATACATCTCTTCACGAGCTAGTAATTCTTTCAACTGAGATTGGATCTGATTTTGAAGTTCTGAATTATCAGCAAACAAAAGTAGTGACTGGAGATTGCCAACTCCGTTTTCAGGCGAGCAATCTGAATCTTGGTGTTCCCGAAACACTCTTTACTCCAACTCTTTAAACCCTCCCTGCACTCCCGCAGCCGATTAACTAGTTGGAACATGGGCGATCCAGCTTGAAACTTGTCCCATCGAGATTTAATCACATCAAGACAACCAGGGCTAGAGGACCACATAGTTTCAAATTTGAACACCCGTGGAATGTTTTTCAGAGGGACACAACATTTGAGAATTAAAGGACAGTGGTCTGACCCAAACAGGTGCTCATGAAACACTTGGGCACAAGGATAAAGTCCTCGCCATTCTACTGTAGCCACTGCCCGATCCAGTCTCTCTCGGATATTGTCAGCACCTCGTTGATTATTAGACCAGGTGAAAGGCGGGCCCTTGAACTCCAGATCCATAAGAGCACAATCAGAGAGCAACTCCATAAAAGCTTGAAGTTGGCTCATGCGACACGCTGCTCCTCCGGACTTTTCTTCCATACAGCTAATTTCATTGAGATCCCCTATACAAAGCCAAGGGTAAGAATTTTCATATGCCATCTGCCGAAATTTGATCTAGAAATGTTTTTGAATTTGTTTTTGGGGTGGAGCATACACAAAGGTAGCTGTCCAGCTACTCTGACAAGCAGGTGAAGAAATAACACTATGGATCATGTTCCGCGATGAAAAGCGAACATCAAGTTGAATATCATCAGTCCACCATACAACTAAACCCCCTGATATTCCAAGGGGATCAACATAACATTTGTGAGGAAAGTGAAAACGTCTGCGAAGTCTATCCAGATAACCCGCTTTATTCTTTGTTTCCATTAAAAACACCACTTTGGGATGATGGGTTGTAATCAACCCTCGGAGGATCTGGACTGTCAGGGGTCGTCCCAAACCCTGACAGTTCCAGCTGAGTATCAACATGGTGGGTGTTACACTTAATTGATTGATGTAATGCCAAGCTAGTTCATACTAGAGCTCTGAAAAGTGATTACTTACCAAAAAAAAAAATTTGTAGCAAACTATGAAAGGGACTGCTTGGCTACTCGGCAATGTCCACCAAAGAGACAAGGAAAAAAAAAACATTCCGCCAATGCCTAATGGGTAGCATAAGAATCAACTAAATAAACCCTTTTTTTTTTCTTCAAAAAATTATAGTGTAATTAGTTTTAATTTTTTTAATTCAATTTTCTAGAAATTGAATTTTTTGTGTTTTGTGTTTTTAGTAAATATTTTTAAAATTTTAAGCATTTTTTTTTAACTTTTTTAGATACACCTTACTTAGATATATCTAAATAGTAAAATATTTTTTAAAACTAATAAATATATAAAAATACAAAAAATGTACTGAGTTTTCAATTTTTTTTATATTTTGGTATTTGGTGAATTTGTTTTTTTTAAAAATTCACAAATATTATACTTTTTAAGTGTATTTATGTTAGGTATGTTTAAAAATTAAAAAAATTGCTTAAAATATTTAAAAAATTTAGTGAAAACAAAAAAAAATATGAAAAATGAAAAAGTAAAAAGTAAAATTTTTTGAAAATGAAAACCAAACAGAGTGAGTGTTATTGATTTGAATGCCTCAAAAGAATGAGGACTTTTTTGGATCAACTGATGGTAACAAAGTAAACAAGTAATTTTTTTTTTTTTTTTTTTTTTTTTAACTATTGGGACGATCTTCTAGTGTGGACACTCGTGACGATAAGAATTGGTCTCTTAATATTTTTTTCAACAAAATTTTCATTTTGAGCGATAAAAAAGTTTAATCCTTAAAACTCTTATATGTTGTACTGTGTTACTTGATATTTTAGTCTGAATATTTTAAGGGTAAATTATAAATACACTTTTTGAGATTTGCTTAGGATATTAATTATCCCTTGTAATTTTGAAAATTACAAATAAAAATGAAATTTCTACCTATTCTTCTATGAAACAATAAAATTATCAAAATAATTATTAAAATATATTACTGACATTGCTAAAAACTATTAATTAACTTAATATTTGATTAATAAAGGATGTTATTTGTTAGGGGAAATTAGTGGGAAGTTAAAAAAAAAAAATTATTACATATATATAAAAAAAACTATAACTGTAATTTTTAATATTGATAAACTTTACCATCAATTTTTAAGTATTTTTCAATGTTTATATTGAACCAAAATTTCCCCTATTTAGTATGCATTTAGAAAGTTTAAGAAGTGAAATGTAATTTTCAAAATTATATGGAGTAATTAGTATTTCAATCAAAAAAAATTAAAAAAAAAATATTTACTTTATAGGGGAAAGCAGAGTACTTTTGTACAAAATTGGACCCAAATTTTTTTATAAAAAATAAATGAAAACGACATTAAAACCATATGAACAAAGTTGTTTAATTAAACTGACATAATAAACAATGAAAAATAAAAATGAGTATATACTTTAAATATCATCAATGTATTTAATTTTGCGAAAATAACTAATAAATCTTACTTTTTTTGTATTAATTTTTTATCACAAAAATTCGGTCATACATTAAATAAATAAATCATCTCAAAATAATTCAAAACTACATTAATGTTACACTTTCTTTCACTTTTGCCCTTTCATATACATATTAATTACACTTCCACTAATAATTTAATGATCAACTTTAGTTAAAAAACCATGAATAGGATCTCAAAAATTATAAAAAAGGATCATCATTCACACGCTGTTTGCTTTGAATTTTCAAAATTAAGTTTTGATTTTTCAAATTTTTTAGTGTTTTTTTTATAACACTTTAGTAAAAATAAATAAATTCAAATCCACCTAATTTAGATGTAATATTTTTGAAAAATCTTCGAAAAATTAAATAAATACAAATATATATATATATATATATATATGAAAATGTACTAAGTTTTTGTATTCTTTTATATTTTTTTATTATTTAATGATTTTTTTAAATATCTTTTTACAAAATTTATATTTTTTAAATGTATGTAGATTAAGTGAATCTAAAAGGTTTTAAAAAAAAAAATTGACTAAAATATTTATAAAAAAAAATTCGCAAAAACCAAAAAAAGATACAAATTAAAAACTCAAACAAAAAAAATTTAAAACTCCAAACCACATAGAATGATTAATATTTGAACTTCTAGATCTATAGATCTATACCTAATACATCAAAAAATTAATAATGAACTGAAAATTAGAATTCAACTGAAATTGCATAAAAGCTGCCCATGTTCGTACAAATTATTATAACGGCTGTTCTTCCAATGGCTATTACCTTTATTACACGATGGACAAGGCGCGCCCCCCCTGGCTGCCAACAAAAAAAAAAAAAAAAAAAAAAAAAAACTGTTTTTTTCGCCCAATCATGGGCCTCCACCTCACTGGGGGTCGACCCTCAGTGGGGGTATAAATCATTTTTCTTATAATAATATTTGGCTCTAGCAATCACCTCATTAATGGAAAATTGAAAAAATAAATAAATAAAAATAAATAAATAAAAATCAACAAGAAAAATATTTTCCTAAATGTTGACTCTTTTCAATGTCACACGGGTATAAGAAGAATGCGAGAAAAATAAAACTTTATAGGTGTGTTTTATTCAAAATAGAACTAAATCATCCTAATAGAAAATGGATAGGATTTAATGATTTTTAAAAAAATAAAATAAAAGTGAGACTAATTAGTTATTATCCCTTTAATTCTTTCTAATTATTTTATATGAAAATATACTAATCTAGTAATTAAAATATTTCAAATGGAAATACATAAATCTAGAAAGAAGGATCCACTATTGGTAAACAGTGAATACCTGTATTTAATCTTATAAAATATTATATATGGAAGGAAGCAGCTTCCCTCTAATCCTTAATACGATTATATAGTGTTGTTTGGTTTATAGAGACCCATCACGGATCTTGTTTTGATAATCTGAACCGTTCAATATGTAGAACTCGTTCAATACTATATGCCTGTAAAAAAATGACATTGATCGGATATCAATAGCTATCTCATCTTATCAGTTTTTTGTCAACCGTAAATTTGATCACCGTCCATTTTTTTATACAAAACTGATTTGATCACATAGTTATCGATATCCGATCAACTTGATTGTTTATAAGCGTATAGTACTTGATGAGTTCTACATATTCAACGATTCAAATTATCAAAAAGGACCCTGTGGTGGACTCCCACGAACTGAACAGCACCATCTAGTCTGATTACCGAAGGCAAGCTGCTGCCGTATGGAAATACATTAATGTAGAAAGAGACCAGAAACTATTGGTAAACGTAGCAATACCTTAAATTTCATGACACCCGAGGCCAGAGTGCTATGAGATTTATGATAAAATTTTATATCCAATATCAATACCTAAGAAATTAGGGTGGATGTCAGGTCGTTAGGTTGTATTTGTGTTATACATCATGAGTTTATGTAAGAATTATCTTAGTACTAATTTAATTAATTTATTATTTCGTATTAACATATCTTGATATTTTCAACCCGTATTAAGTTCTTGTGATATTAACATGTCATATAAAAATAATTAACTCTTAATTTAAAAACTACCAAATGTTTGGAATTTTTTCCCCATAATTTTAATTTAATTAAACTAATCTCTATGTGACGAAATTATTCATAGAAATATTTGATTTCAATTCACTTTCAATTTGCCTAAATTACAAAACTATATGCTATTATTAATTAATTTTTACTATATTGATCTTAACACATTAGGCCAAAAATACACAATCTTTAATTAAAAACAAAAATAAACTATTTTGACTTTAAAATTTTAATTTACATCTTTTTAATTATTTGGATGAGTTATGCAATAGATTTAAAAATGTCATGACACTTCTTGGTAAAAATAATATTAAAATATATAATTAATTTTTTTATCAAGCAAGTTATTTGTATTATATAGATTTGACCTTATTATAATATATTTAAAATTCATGTTATCAAATTGTGTTATATTTATGCGTTTGTATCAAAAAATGACTCCAACAATGTGATTAAGTAGAATTATTTATAGTTGTGGAAAAACTAATGATATGGCAATGAAAAATAAAGGACGCATTACCATTACACTGTCCTTATAATTTGATACACGTGTTATTTTAGTTTTTGACTATTTAATTATAATATATTTGACTATAACTTTGAATCTTGTTCTAAATAAGAATAATTAAAAATATCATTATTTAATTTTAAAAATAAAATTATGAATTTGATAAAATATAAACTAATTTGATAAAAATAAATGTCCAAAAAATATTTTTGAATTTTTAAAAATTATTTCTACCCGCTAAAGATAAAATTATATAAAATTGATAAATCTTTTAGATATATATATTACGAAATTAATTGTTATTATGTGCTTGGATGATCATCATATAATAGATGGTTGTTTTTATTTCATTAAATTAGTTTAGATTTTTTCGAAAGTCAAATATGACAATAACTTTGATATCATTATTAAACAAATCCATTACATCCAAAACTAAAAGAAATTCATATATTAAATATATATCAATTGCACATTAAAATCTTTACAGCCACATATTACATTATCATCATCTAAACACATAATAAAAATTAATTTGGTAAAAATAAATAAATGTCTATAAGATTTATCAATTTTACATAATTTTATCTTTGATGTGTAGAAATAATTTTTAAAAATTTAAAAATATTGTTTTGAAATTTATTTTTGTCAAATTAGTTTATATTTTATCAATTAAAGATTTTAACCTTGAAATTAAGTAATGGTATCTTCCATTGTCCTTATTCAAAACAATATTCAAAATTAATGATCAAACGTATCACAATTAAAAAATCAAGAATTAATGACACGAATTTTAAACTATAAGAACAATTAGTGTAATTTTTTTTTCAAAACTACTGACCTATGAGCATTTTAAACTTTACACTCAATAAAAACATATATATATATATATATATATATCTAGGATTTGACATTACAACAAATAAATATTAAATTTTTTATTTTATCAATTTAAAATTTAATGTTTTATTATCTATTTTCAATCTAAATCATTCATCTATTTTTATTAATTAAAATCAATGAAAAAAAATCATCAAATCAATAATTTAAAATTTCATAATTTTATAATTAATTGAGAGAGAGAGAGAGAGAGAGAGAGAGAGAGAGAGAGAGAATTCTTACCCATTTCTTGTGGAACATGCCAATCTTTAAGGTCTTGGATACGGGGAGGCCATTGACAATATCAAAACCTTTTAATTTGGGCATATCAACAAGATCATCTACAAACATTTCCAGATATGATGGGTTTATCAACCTGTCTTCTCCCCATGTGCTCATTACGCCTACTCCCAAAATTGCCCAACAAATCAGATGATACATCACAATACTCTTCCTCCCCATTTTCACCTCCCTTTCCTTGAATGAGCATATATATATATATATATATATGAGAGAGAGAGAGAGAGAGAGAGAGATTTGTGTCTATAATTTGGACCTGGGTTTGGTACTAATTCATATGAGTGTATGAGAGAGGAGAGAAGTGTTCAGAAGAGAATGAAACCACTGTAAGAGCTGGTTTAATTCTAATTCACCATATATATATACATATATAGAGAGAGAGAGAGAGAGAGAGAGCTTAATAGGGTGGTTGTTATTGAACAATATAGATGTGAAAAGCAACTGATACAAAATTAATTAGAAGGATTTCTCAAATATATTAGAATAACAATATATATACACAAATTAGTATATCAATTAGTATATTAATGAATGATATGATATAATTTTAGAGATGTTAGGTATTTATAATTTGTATAATGGGTAGAGTCATTTTTTAAAATAGTAATGTCATAGCATATATTGGTATATTAATTAATATATGCACCGTGTACTAAATGATGATGTGACAAATTTTAAAGGTTTTAAGTCTTCATAATTTGTATAATAGATAAAATCATAATTTTTAAATGATAAATGTTATAAATATGTTAATATATTAATTAATATATTAATTAGTACATGTAACATCATAAATTATATTAATCCAAAGAGAAAATGGATTGGCAAAGACTTGACTGACTCAATACCATTCCCACTCTCATATGACCATCTATATGGGTGTATTAATTAAATTTGAGTAATTTAAAACACGAAAAATGTTTGGGGGCCCTAATTCTGTGGCTCAAATGTGGCTCAAATGGCCAAAACGACGTCGTTTTGGCCATTTTGATGTTGTTTTGTACTCAAAACGACGTCGTTTTGGCCATTTGAGCCACATTTGAGCCACAAAATTTGGACCCTCTACCATTGCTCTTAAAACACCATGTGAATCTTTGAAACAATCCTTGCATGTGTACACAATTGGCAAGGCCGATGGTCACTTTTTTTTTTTTTTTTTTTTTTAAAAAAATACCCTTGATTTTTTTCGTTATTACACTAACGAAAACAATCCACATGAATTTGAAAGTTCTCAACAAATTTCGATGAGGATTCAAAATTAATATATGATTGATGTGATGAATTATTTAAAAAATAATCTTCCATTAATAAATGATTGATGTGGCGTATTATTTACAAATAAAAAAAATTCAAAAAAAAAACTAAAAAACCAGTTAATATAGTGAATTATTTGAAATTAATGGAAGATTATTTTTTAAATGCATGAATTGTGTGTAAAATTTGATTAATTATAACAATTATAGTTGTTTATAGGAAAAGAAAATTTTCAAATTTCAAATTGATTAATTTTGTTTGGGGTGTGTTATATAAGCACACTTTTTACCTTAGACAAATTATACTAACAATCCCTAGAGTTTGGGATTCGTATCATTTTGATCTTTGACTTTTTAATTGTGTCACATTTGATCTTGAATTTTAAATTTTATTCCAAATAAGGACAATTAAAAATATCATTGCTCAATTTCAAGGGCAAAATCGTCAATATGATAAAATATAAACTAATTTGACAAAAAGAAATGTCAAAAAAATATTTTTAAATTTTTAAAAATTATTTTTACCCATCAAAGATAAAATGATGTAAAATTGATAAATCTTTTAGACATGTATTTATTTATTTATTTTTATCAAATTAATTTTTATTATATGTTTAGATGATAATCATGTAACAGATAGTTTTTATGATTTTAATGTGTAATTTGTATATTTAGGGTAAATTACAAACACCCCCTCGAGGTTTTATGAAAATACAGATTCCCCCCTGAGGTTTGAGAAATTACATCACGCCCCCTGAGGTTTATATTTCCATAACAAGTTGCCCCCTGAGGTTTTTTTTTTCATACAGATTTCCCCCTAATTTGTTATGCAAATTTGATCCTCAGGGGCAATTTGTAATTTCTCAAACCTCAAGGGACAATCTGTATTTTTACCAAACCTCGAGGGGGGTGTTTGTAATTTGCCCGTATATTTAATATATGAAATATTTTTAGTTTTGGATCTTTTGATTTATTGCATTGGTTTAATAACTTTTGAAAAAATAGAAAATTATTCAATAAAAATAAAAACAACCACACATTATATGATCATCATCCAAACACATAATAAAAATGAATTTGGTAAAAATCAATAAATAAATGTCTAAAAGATTTATTAATTTTACATAATTTTATCTTTACTGGGTATAAATAATTTTTAAAAATTCAAAAATATTTTTTTTGACATTTATGTTTCAAATTAATTTATATTTTATTTAATTGACAATTTTACCCTTGAAATTAAGCAATAGTATCTTTAATTGTCTTTATTTAGAACAAAATTTAAAGTTTAGGATCAAATGTGTCACAATTAAAAAGTTATGAACCAAAGTGACACAACCCCAAACTATAGGGACGTTAATGTAATTCACCCTTTTATTTTTTTATCTTTTTTGAGTCACATTACCTCTCTACTTTTCTGCACATTTTTTTCGTAAAAAGTTAAAAAGTATATTTATTTAGATCATCCAAAACAACCACGTTTCTTGTTAAAATGACAAAAAAAAGAAAAAAGAAAAAAAAAAGACTCTTAAAACCCCCTCATAATTATAAAGTGTCGTGTGAAAGACAAAATTTATTATTTGAATATTTTATTTGACCATTATACCCTCTCTTTCTTCTCTTTCTTTTACAGTACTTTCTCATTTTTTTCACTAACTTGATGGTTGTTAATCGCCTCTACCATCTTCATCAGTTGCTGGCATCGCTTATCCTCACCGTCAGTTGGTGACCACCATTTTTTTGTCAAACCACCACCATATCAAATTTGATACTTACAAACTTAGATTTGAGAGAAATGAACTTACATTTGAAAAAATAAAAAATAAATGAGAAGTCGAGAGATTACAATGAAAAATTAAGAGTCTTTTGTTTGTTTGTTTGTTCATAAATTTAAAAGTAAAATTTGATTCTAATTCGTTCATTATGTACTTTATTTTTTGTAACAGTAAAATTTTACTCTTGTTAACAACATGCTAATCTGCTTAACAATAGTAAACTTTTACTTTGAATTATAGTAAATTTTACTCTGAAACATACTATGAAGACGGCTTTGCAGGAGAAGGTTGCATCATGAACCAGAGTAAAATTTTACTGTTCAAAAAAAAAAGCATCATGAGAATAAGAAAGAGATAAGGTGACAGAGTTTGAAAATGTAGTATTATGAGAAGAAGAAGAAGAGAGAGTGAGAGCATATATGGTGAATGACACACACATACAGAGAACACGAACTGTTAGAACTAGAGAGAATGAGAGTTGAGGATCTCAGATCTGAGGTTCGCGAATCTCAAACCGTTATTTTTCAACGGTGGCGACGACAGTGAATGATCTCAAATTTGAGGTCATGGACACAACATGAGACGATGGCGATGAAGACGGTGGAAAAAGAGTTCCATAAGGAGTGACGGTGGCGTCGATGGAAAGAAACGATGGTAAAGAAAGCGAGATAGAAAGAATAGATATTGAGATGGGAGAGTGTATTTTTGCAAATTTATATATATAAGGGTAGTATAGTAAAAGAACAAGTTTTAAAATATTAGAGGATTTTGAAATGATCTATATAATTCTTATCATTTTAAAAAATAAATTAGATAGTGAGAGGTCTATCACCAAATCCCCCTTAGTAAGGGAATATTATCAATTGAAAAGGATTTTATTGATAAGTTGGATTATAAAATCTTGGTTAGTCATTTTGTAGCAAAAATGCTAAAAATATAATATTTAAGTAATATTTGTTACAATTTATTCACTTTTTATTTGGTGTCTAAACTTGGATTATTTTGATTATTTTTTTATTGCTAACTTTGTTGTATATTTAAATGACTTTTTGCAAGTAACATTTTTCTAAACACTGTCAAATTTAAATAAATAAACAAAATTGAATATATTATTATTTTTATTTTTTATTTTTTTTATTTATTTTTTTGTCCTCCTTAAGCCTCATACCATGATTTTGCTTTTAGTTCAAAAATCTGAGAGTTGGCCCTGATCATTTGATTACTGAATCAGATACGAGTCTTTCATATATTATATAAGACCTGATTTACACAATTAGTGAATCTTACTTTATGTAAAATAATTGTATCTAATTTTGTAATTAAATTTTGTATTATTAAAAAAAATTAAAAATATCAAAGACGGTCTAATTTAAAAATATGAAATTAAAAATATTGAAAACAAGAAAGATGACCTGTATTCCAATGTGTGGGCTTCGATGTCTCCCAAAACGTGAGAATAAGGACTCGAGAAATTCCAAGGGTCTACATGACAGATGTTATCCTTTCTTTATATGATAAATCTTTGCTTCTGTTTGGGAAATAAGTTGGTTTTTTGACTTTTTGACTTTTTCAGCTATTTTAACTTGGGTTAAAAAGTTTGGTTTGAAAAGGACTTTTTGACTTTTTGACTTTTTTAACTTTTTTTTTTTTGTGAGAGAAGAATGTAATGATTATGGGTTGGATGTGATATTTTGTTTTTTATTGCTAAAATAGCCTATTTTGTCTTTGTGACTAAAATAACCAAAAAAATCCCGTTTAACTCTTGCCAAACGGAGCATCTGATCTTTTTGGTTACTCTTGATACAACCTATAGTTCTTGTTTGTTTATATGGGTACGATAAGGTGGCTTACGTCAATCATATATTTTAATTAAAAAATTAAAAAACCAATAAAATAACCGATTCTCAAACTAAGTAATTTAAAGTCAAAATATTGTGGCCAATAACTTAGTAACCATATCATACGATGAAGCGAATAAGAGATCAGGAGTTTATGATTGCATTTAATGTGAGCTATCGTATTTATTTATCATAAGATTAGGTACTTTGAAATCCCTATCCTAATAAATCTAATATTTGGTTAGAAATTGTGAAGAATGACAATTGCTTTGATTTTGTTTTGTTTTGTTTTTTTTTTCTTTTTGGATTGTTAACTATGCAATGACAATATTAAATCTGACTTTTTAATTTAGATGTATTTAAAATGTAATATATTTATGAAAAATATCAAAATAGTTTACTTAAAAAAATAATAATAATATATTTCTATTTTTTTTTAGTCTTTAGTTAACTCTTTTTTTTTTCTAATTTCTTCACAAATATAAGTGCATGTAAGAAAAATTGATTAAAA